CCCGCCCGTCGACCCGCCGTGCCGCCCGTAGGCCCGCGCGCCGCGCCGCCCGTCCGTCGACCAGATGTGCAGCCCGCCCGTCGACCCGCCGCGCCGCCCGTAGGCCCGCGCGTCGCGCCGCCCGCTTGTCGACCCACCGCGCCGCCTGCCCGTCGACCTGCCGCGCCGCCCGCAGGCCAGCGCGCCGCGCCGCCCGCCAGCCAGCGCACTGCGCCGCCCGCCTGTCCACATGCTGCGCCACCTACCCGCCTGCATACCTACCCGCCGCCGTCTCTCGGCGAGGGGCTTCACCGACCAGTCTTTGGACAGGGTCCCCTGGTGTTGCGTCAAGGTTTAGTGTCTGGGGCTGCTTGGCTCTTGTCCGCGACACCTCTGCGGACAAGATCTCGCCTCGGGCTGTCCCCTCTGCCTTCCTTGGTTTCCCAGAGGGCTCCTCTGACTTCACCTTTTACCACCCTCCCTCCCACCGGTTCTTTGACTCTCGTGACGTCCGCTTCGACGAGTCCGTCCCCTATTACGTCCGGTACCCCTGTCGAGGTCTTCCGGTTCCCCCCCCTCCCCTCTTCCTGGCTCCAGCTCCTCCTCCTCCCGCCCCTACTCCTCCGGTTACCCCCCCCTGTTCCCGCTCCGTCTGGTATGTCCCACGCTACTCCCCCCCCCTCGGTACCCCCCCAGGTCTCTCCTCCTTCCCCACAGTCGTCCTCACCGCCTCCGCAGCAGCCGTCAGCGCTTCCTTTACCGGCCACTGCGGCCTCTGAGGGTGTTGGTGCTCGAGGTGAGGGCTCTTGCGGTGCTCGCTCTGGGGGTGCTGGCGTTAGAGCTGTTCGTGCACCTACAGGAGTAGCCAGTTTTGGGGGTGTTGGCGTTGGCGCAAAGCGTGCAACTGCCGCAGCTGCCCGTTCCGAGGGTACTGGAGCTGGTGGTGGTGCTGGAGCTCGTGGTGTTTCTGGAGCTGGAGAATCTGGGGCTAGTGCTGGTGCCACTGGAGGCACCACGACTGGGGGTGCGGGTACACCTCCTACATGTGCTGGTCATGCTGCTGCGAGAGGTACTTGCTCTGGGGGTGCTCAGCCGGGTACTGTCGAGGACGGAGCCGATTAACTGTTGCGTCTCCTGACACCACTCCTCCTCCTCACACCTACCCGACTCGTTACCAGATCCTTCTTCGTCTAGAGCGTGAGGAGCAGCAGCGTTTGGAGCGTGAGAGGTCGGAGGTTCAGCAGTGGGTGGAGCGTGAGAGGTTGGAGTTGCAGCGGGAGCAGCAGCAGCAGCAGCAGCCGCAGCAGCCGGAGCAGCCTTCGGCCCCTGTTTCTGGCCTTCGGGCCCTTGGTCTCCCCTCCTCTCCTCCTGTGTTTGGTCCTAAGTTTCCTCCTCCGAACTTAGCTCCGGCTGTGTTCCCTTGTTCTCAGTCTCCTCCGCCCACACTTGGACCTCTCGTCCCCCTCGTGCTTGTCCTTCGTCACCTGTCACTGACCTCCGTACCATGCTGTTTCGTCCTAGTCCTCCTCGTCCTCCTCCGTCTGTTCTTCCTCGTCCTTCTGAGTCGTCCCTCACTGCTTCCCTGTCCACTCCGGTCACTGACTACTACCGCATACACCGCCCCACTCTCTCTCTCATGTTCTCGCCTCTCTTGTTACAGACCCTCATGCCTCTCCTTCCTCCATCGCGGTCCTCAGTGCCCCTGTCACTTACTTTACTGCTACGCGTCGCTTTGACTACGCCACTCGTGTTGTGGCCGCTCCTCCTGTCCGTCCTCTGTCCGTCCGGGGTGAGTCTAGCTTTGGCTGTGACATCCTAGAGGACAAACAGTTTGAGCTAGAGTTCCTGGCAGCTGCTTCGCCTCATCTTTGTGCCATGCTCCTCGCTCCCAAGGGAGACCCCGACGCTCTTGACATACCTACTCCTCCCACTTACGCTGAGGCAGTGTCAGGGCCTTGGGCCTCTCAGTGGAGAGCTGCCATGGACGCAGAGATGGCCTCCTACAGGTCCACAGGCACTTACGTTGACGAGGTTCCCCCCCTAGGGGCGAACATAGTTGACGGCATGTGGATCTTCAAGGTGAAGCGGCCGCCGGGATCTCCCCCAGTCTTCAAGGCATGCTACGTGGCTAGAGGGTTCAGTCAGCGTGAGGGAGTTGATTTCTTTCAGACTTTCGTGCCCACCCCGAAGATGACCACTCTTCGGGTGTTACTGCACGTAGCAACGCAGAGAGACTACGAGCTACACTCTCTTGACTTCTCCATTGCCTTCCTCGAGGGCAGCCTACACGAGGAGATCGGGCTGCGTCGTCCTCCGGGCTTCACTAGCACCTTCCCGCCTGGGACCCAGTGGAGCCTCAGACGACCGGTCTACGGTCTCCGCCAGGCACCCCGTGAGTGGCACGACACTCTCCGCTCTACTCTGTCGGACCTCGGGTTTGAGCCGTCTTCCGCCGACCCTTCGCTGTTTTTTCGTCGTGGGCGCACACCTTTCTTCGTTCTCGTCTACGTTGACGACCTGGTTTTTGCCACAGCCGACATAGTTGCACTGGCGGAGGTGAAGTCTTAACTGCAGAAGAGACACACCCGCACTGACCTTGGGGAACTGCGCCGCTACCTTGGCCTGCAGATCTACAGGGACAGAGCCGCTCGCACCATCACCCTGACTCAGTCACACATGGTGCAGCAGGTCCTTCAGCGGTTCGAGCTTTAGCACTCTTCTCCTACACCCACCCCTCTTGCTGTAGATCATAGACTCTCTGGGCCTTTTCCTGACGAGCCGTTTGAGCCCACTGGTCCCTACGCAGAGCTGGTGGGCTGCCTCATGTACCTGATGACGTGTACTCGCCCGGACCTCGCCTTCCCTCTTAGCATCCTTTCTCGCTTTGTTGCGACTGGGAGACACCGACTTGTTCACTGGACGGCGGCTAAGAGGGTGGCGAAGTACCTCAGCGCGACATCAGACATGGGGCTTGTACTTGGAGGGACACAGCCAGTTGTACTCACCGGTCACTGCGACTCCTCCTACGCCGACGACGTTGAGACTCAGAGGTCTACGTAGGGTTACTGTTTCAGCCTGGGCTCTGGAGCTGTTTCGTGGAGGTCCACTCGGTCCTCCTCTGTTGCGACTTCTACCGCAGAGGGCGAGATCTACGCTGGAGCCCTTGCTACACAGTAGCTACGCTGGTTGACCTTCTTGCTCACTGACCTTGGTGAGCGGCCGAGCTCTGCACCGACCTTGTTTGCTGACAACAAGGCGATGATTCTCCTGTGTCGTGAGCCTCAACTAGAGAGCAGAGCGAAGCACATCGACGTTAGGTACTTCCTCCTTGGAGAGTTGCAGAGACACGGACAGGCTCGTCTGGACTTCGTGGCCTCCGAGGCCAACACTGCAGACATCTTCACCAAGGCCCTTCAGCCTTGTGACCACCGCCGGATTTGTCTGCAGTTGGGCCTCGTTGAGACTGGGTCTAGTAGACTGCAGTAGTGAGTTCTTGCCTCTTGTTTGTGTGTACCATATATATTAGCTTGTACACTCTTGAACTAGCCTTGTGGCCCTTTGTTTGTGCCCAAACTGTGTGGTGACGTTGTGATCCACCCTGAGCTTTGTTTTCTCTCTTGCTTGTGACTGGTCTTGTGACCTTGGGTTGAGTTTCTTGTTGCTTGGCATTCCCCTCTTAGGCTATGGGGGTGTGTCAAATGTTATAGCCTCTAGTGGGTGATGCTATATGGGGTACAAATAGTTAGGGTTAGGCATTTGTACCCCAACCCAATCAATCCAGCTCATTCCGCTGTGTTTAGTTTTTGAGAGAAACAAGTAACTTAACGCTTCTGATGTGTTGGAACATCGAACTGTAAGCAAAGCAAATAGCAACGAAGCAATGTCGAGTCAACCATCGGAGGTTGACAAGAGAGGTAATCGCTGGAGGTTACGTGAAGGTCAAAGGTCAGGGACCTTTGACTTGACAAATACAGCGCGACAGCAAGGACAAACAACTGACTCGATACTGAGTAGTTGCCCGAGTCGTCACCGTATCGAACCGCATCAGCAATAGTAAAACAGTTGCTAGTTGCACCCTTTCATATTCCTTGTAATCTTATAAAAGGCTTGTATTACTTTTCTATAATCAATCTATCTTGCCCTCACATACTAGCGCAAGGTGGTTCAACACTTCATCATTGAAACGCTTCCGCAATTACAATACTTCTACTCAGAATTTAGCCTTGCAAATATCCTAAGGGCTCTTCTCAGCCCAACACAATCAAATACTGCAGCCCGTCCTCCCTCACCCCACTTTCATTCAGTCTGAGGGATGTCAGTGCAGTTAGTTTACCCACATGCACCATGCTGGCAGAGGTGACATATGGGCAGTAAAGATCCAGATTAGCAAGCTATGACAGCCCCTGGAGCTTCCCTACTCCTTCGTTGGTAATATGGGTTCTGCCAAGAGAGAGTGCTCTGAGATGCTTCAGTTGCCAATGCCTTTAAGGAAAGTATCTGTGATGCTTGTAGTTGACAAATCCAGAAATGCGAGAGCCGTGAGGGAGAAGAGCCGTGTCACGCCCTCTGCAGAGAAGCCCCAGGATCCTTGAAGGCTGAGCCACGTGAGAGAGCTCAAGGCGATGGCTCGAGTGAGAGCACCGTGAATGATGTAAATGCTGCTGAGGTCCAGGCGAGCCTTGCCTGGACGAACCTCAACCCAGAGTGCGACGGGTTCCTGTAGAGACGCACAGAAGCACAAGGAAGCAAGGCCAACCACGCAGACAGATAAGCACGACCCTGACGACACCAGGGAGCGGACTCCCGCATGCTATGAGTGTCAAGTGTCATGCACCAGCTTGAAAATCAAGCTGGCTGCATGTGACTTCACGTGGCCCAGAAAAAGTAAACATGTTTCATCTGTTTTCGAAAGAGAGAGCACAATCTGTAATGCAAGACGAGGCCAAAGAGTAAGGTTGTACCATAAGAGGACCAACATGAGAGTCGGGCACACATGTGAACCATGCAGAATCCACATGCTATTAGCCTTCCATGTGTGCACTCACCTCCCACACATGGCCTTCCCTGTCGCTCGTTTTCTCCAGAGCTTCCTCTTGCACCCTCAGATTCCGCACCTTGTCCTCCGGGTTAACATACTCCGCGCCATCCTCCTCCTCCTCCTCCTCCTCCTCCTCCTCCTCCTCCTCCTCCTCCTCCTCCTCCTCCTCCTCCTCCTCCTCCTCCTCCTCCTTCGCGCCGCCCTCCCTTTCCACCTCATCCCCTTCGGTTTCTTTCAGGCGCACGACTAGCAACGACAAGCGCCAACCCATCCCCCGCAGGAACATCTGCTAGATCTTCCTCCTCCTTCCTCTTCCTCTTCTGCCCTTCCCCACTGCCCTCCTTGCGCTTCTCCGCGTGGCCGTCCTTGATGGCGGCGAGCGCCAGCTCGACGTGGCTGATGCGCGCTTCCGAGTGCGCCGCCGTCGCTTTCATGTCCGCCACCTCCGCCGCCGGACTCTCCGCCGCAGCCGTCATTTGTGCAAGCTCCACCTTCAGCAGGCCCACCTCCTCGCGCATCTCATTCACCTCCCTCCGACCTGCGAACCTTTCAGCGGCTGCACGTCAATACCCTCCGTTGCCTTTCCTGAGGCACTCCCTTTTCCTGCCCCCTCTGCTATCCCCTTGAGGAGGGCCATGTTGCGGCGCATGTCCGCCATCTCTCGCTTCAAAGCAGCCATGGCGTCGCCTTGCTCCCTCAGCTTCGCCTCAAACGCCGCCACGCACTTGCCCATCCCTGTCACCTCCTCCATCTTCACCTTCAGCACCATGCCGTTCACGCTGACATGTCCGGCTCAATTGGCACTGCTGAACCGAACTCACGGACTTGTACGTATTGCGATAACCAATTGGTAGGACGGAAAGCCAGAAGGTGGGGTGACACGGCCAGTCGTGGTGGCGCCGTATTTGGATGGACAGAAAAGGGCAACAGAGATTCAAGTGGTGGCGAGGCTGGAGAGCGATTCACCACGAGACTAGTGTATGTGTCGCTGTCACTGTTGCTGTCATTTGGATGCTCTGCCATTTCGCTCCTGATGTGACGGATTGGTAGGGACGAATACTAGAGGCTAGCAAGTGTGCAGCAGTGTCAGATCGGGAAGTTTGCATGCGCATTTGTTCGAAGGCGAGAGCAGGGTGTTCGCTTTGCCAGCTGGTGTTGAGATTCAGATTCCTTATTTCACCACCCGACAAAAACAGGTTTGGCGACCGGCCAATCAGCAGGAAAGCCAGATGACCCCTCAACCCATTAACAAAGTGAAGCGACGACTCAGTTGCTCAGTCCCTTTTTCCTGACCCAGCCTGCTGAACCGACATTCGCCATCCATAAACGCCCGAAGTATCAACGCACGAAGATTCTTCTCAATGAGTCCAAGGCGATACACATCTGAAGTTAGGTTCGATCGTCGAGGGCACAGCACCCCATGAGGCGCGTATCAAGCACCCGCGCGGTCCCATGTTCCAGCCCACGCTGTAGCGTCGCAGCAGCGGGCTAGGTTAGACGTTCAGTAAGAGAGGGGGGGGGGGGGGGGCGCTAGAGGCCCCCCAGTTGCGCACGGCACCTCATAAGGGAGTGCAAATGCCCCCCGCATCCCTCCTCCTCCCGCAACTCATGGCTTCGCTTCTTCTTTCCCGTCCCCAGCAGCAGCAGCGGCGTCGGCGGTGGTAGCAGTCGGCGGATCGGGTCGTCTACTGGGTGCTCATGCTGTAGCTCTTAGTGGGTTTCGCGGAGTAGAAGGAGCTTATAACAGAGACGCGCCACCGCGGGTTTGTGAAGTGGGAGCGGCACAGGCACGTGTTTCCGTGGAAGATCCGACTCACCGCGCACCCGCACGTCGTTTCGCGCGACCGTTTGGGCAAGCGCTGGGGCGCAAGCGGCGCGCGCGGAAGCGCGCGGCCAAGAATAAGGCGCCGCCAAAACCGGCGGATGCCAAAGGGGGAAACAATTCTGCACAGACTGGGGCAGGCGGGGGCGCGAATAAAGAGGAGGAGATGCGGGGCTGGAAAGGGTGGCGTACGTGGCATGGGGAAGGAGAAGGGGTCCGGGGGAACAGCAGGCGCGGGCGCAGGGAAAGGGGGGAGCGCGGAGGGGCTTTGGGGGATAATGGTATGACGAACACCAGCAATGTGAGCAGCAGCAGTAGTAGAGGAGACAAGAGGGGGAGGGCGAGTGCAGGGGAGAGGAGTGGAGGGGACGAGGGGGCGGGCGGGCGCGGCGGTGGTGAGGAGTCTGGTGGCAAGGGAGGGTGGTGGCGACGGCACAGAGCGAAGCGGGGAGTGCTGACCCTATGCACCTAGACTTGTAAAAATGCCGCAAGGCCGCCAGAGCTGCTCGCACGCTGCGAGCAAGTAACAGCAGCAGCAACAGAAGAGAGGGGGTGATGGGAGGCGGGGAGGGCGAGGGGGTGTGTGTGGGGGAGGAGTGTCCGGTGTTTGGCAACTATGAGGGGGAGTTGAGTGGCGTGGCGGCGTGTTGGAACAAAGTGTCACAGGATTGACTTCTCAATCGGAACTTGTCACTAAAACTGAATACAAGGCGTTTTTATACTCGGAAAATACAAGGATAAACGAGATAAAACGAACCTTCGGGAACACGCCCTTTCCCGATACTACAATCACAAGTGCGCACAAGCACGCAAGGCTATTGGCACTTGGGATTACGCCCTGATTACACCGTATAGACCACTGTCGGCGCTGTCGGTGCAGTATAATAGATATGTCGGTGGGAAAAGTAGGAAATAAGAGAAATAAATAGAAGGCTCTAGAAAATAGAAGAGTAGGCCGATTGAGATGAAATAAACACCAAAATAAAGAGGAGAAAAGGGAGAATAAGATAAAGGAAAATTATAATAATAAGAAAATTATTTTAACGGGGACGTCCTCTCACACTTCCCCCCCTTTAAGCTGGGTGGTAGAAGTAACACCCTGCCTGACAAGGTAGTCCTGGAGAGGACGACGGGCGTTATCTATGTCATGTTAAGGTACCCAGCTATCCTCGGAAGGATCATAGCCTTTCCAACGAATCAAGAGCTCCAAAGTGCCGTTACGTCATCGTCGGTGCGCCAGAACAGCTTCGACGTCGTACTCAGGTTCCCCATTAATGAACATTGGCGGTGGCGGCGGCGGCTGGCGACCTTTAAAGACCGTGTTCATGTCCCGATATGGCTTGAGAAGTTGAACATGGAATGCATCGTGAATTCTCCAGGTAGCTGGTAAACGCAAGCCGAAGGTTACTGGAGTGACCTGCACCTCGACGATAAAAGGTCCGCAGAAGCGAGGTCGAAGCTTAGACGGAAGATGGTTGATGTCGAGATTGCGTGTATCCAGAAGCACTTGATCGCCAATCTTGATTGAATGATCGTTGCAACTCCAATCAGCGAGATTCTTTTGTTGCTGCTGGATAGTCAAAAGTTATTTATGCGTGCGCTCCCACAACTGGTGCATAGCGGTAATGAAGTCATGAGTGGGTTGCACAGTGGCGGGTACTGTCAGTTTCTGAAGCGTGAGTGGGTTACGACCGTAACAGAGGAAGAAAGCAGTTTGCCCTGTTGCCGTGTGCGTGGCGTTGTTATACGCAAACTCGAGAACCGGAAGGTGCGCATCCCATTTAGAGATATCGTCCTTATACGCTGCTCGCAGAAGCTGTTTGACAATCTGGTTGAGGCGCTCTGTCTGACTATCCGTTCGGGGATGATAGGCTTGTGAAGAAGTGAACGAGAATGAATGAACTATGAATGAAGTGAGTACAAATATGAAACCCTAATTGGGTTGTACCCCCTATGGGATACCCCACTGTAGCCTACACAACAGCATAAGCTATAATGTTCTGACACACCCCCATAGGCAAAGTGGGGGAGAACAAGGGGTCACAAGACCAGTCAAGCAAAGCAAAGCAAAGCTCAGGGTGGATCACAAAGTCACCACACATTCCGAGCACAAGTTCAAAGGCCAAAAGGCCAGTTCACATGCAAGAACACATATAGAGATATACAAGAGTCAAGCAAGCAAGAGCAAGAGTATATATAGGTGAAGGTACAAGCAAGATCAAGAAGTGAGCAAGTGAGGCAAGACAGGCACAAGACCCAGCTGCGTGCAGCAACGCTGATGATCACAAGGCGCAAGTGCCTTGGTGAAGACATCAGCAGTGTTGGCCTCAGAGGCCACGTACGCAAGTCGCAACTGTCCACGCTGCTGCAGCTCACGAGCAAGAAAGTAGCGGAGAGCAATGTGCTTTGTCCTGTGCTCCAGTCGCTGCTCTCGACACAAGGCCAGCATGGCCTTGTTGTCTACGTACAGGTCTGGAGGAGAACGCGGCGGCTCTCCAAGGTCGGTCAGCAGGTAGGTGAGCCAGCGAAGCTCCTGGGCAGCCATAGCCCCGGCGTAGATCTCAGCCTCACAACTGGAGCCGAGAACAGAAGACGAGCGGGTAGCCCGCCACGAAACAGAGCCGGAACCAAGGCTAAAGGTGTAACCCTGTGACGACCGCTGCGTAGCCTGGTCGTCAGCCCAAGAAGCGTCCGCGTGCCCAGTGAGGACCACTGGACTGCGTCCTCCAAGCACTAGCCCCATGCCCGACGTACTGCACAAGTAGCGCAACACCCTCTTCGCTGCAGCCAAGTGCTCTGGTCGGTGTCTCCCAGGAGCAACATAGCGTGCGAGAATGCTAAGAGGGTATGCAAGGTCAGGTCGTGTGCAGGTCATCAGGTACATGAGGCAGCCAACAAGCTCTGCATACGGGCCACTCGACTCTACGGACTCATCCGAAGGCAGAGCTGAGAGCGAGTGGCGAGTAGGCAGAGGAGTGGCCTGAGGCGAGGAGTACGTGAAGCCAAAGCGCTGAAGGACCTGCTGCACCATGTGTGACTGAGTTAGGGTAATGGTGCGGCTTGCTCTGTCCCGGGTGATCTACAAGCCAAGGTAGCTGCGCAGTTCACCTAGGTCAGTGCACGTTTGTCTCTTCTGCAGCTCGGACTTCATGTAGGCGAGTCCAGCAGTGTCAGCTATGGCAAAGACCAAGTCGTCGACGTACACGAGGATGTAGAACGGCGGCAGAGAGGTGTCGGTGCGCAGAAACAGCGACGGGTCGGCAGTAGAAGGAGCAAACCCAAGTGCCGCCAGCGTAGTCCTCAGTGTGTCGTGCCACTCACGCGGCGCCTGGCGGAGACCGTAGACTGGACGCCGGAGACTCCACTGGGTGCCAGGAGGGAAAGTCCCAGTGAAGCCAGGTGGGCGACGCAGCCAGATCTCCTCGTGCAGGCTGCCCTGCAAGAAAGCAGTGCTGAAGTCGAGAGAGTGCAGCTCGTAGTCACGGTGAGCAGCAACGTGCAGCAGTACCCGAAGAGTGGTCATCTTCGGGGTGGGGGAGAAGGTCTGAAAGTAGTCAACTCCCTGCCGCTGACTGAAGCCACGAGCCACGTAACGCGCCTTGAAGACAGGCGGAGAACCCGGCGGCCGCTTCACCCTGAAGATCCACATGCCACTGACGATGTTCGCCCCAGGAGGGGGAACAGCGTCAACGTAGG